TTTTCACTGCTGCTGCTGCACTAAACGAGACCAAGACCAGTCTGAGACCACAGGGTCCCGAGACCAGGAGAAGACCAAGACCTCTGAGAGTCGAGACCGAGACAAGACCGAGACTTTAAAAGGCCGAGGCCGAGACAAGACCAAGACCTCTGAGAGTCGAGATCGAGACAAGACCAAGACTTTAAAAGGCCGAGGCCGAGACAAGACCAAGACCTCTGAGAGTAGAGACCGAGACAAGGCCGAGACTTTAAAAGGCCGAGGCCGAGACAAGACCAAGACCTCTGAGAGTCGAGATCGAGACAAGACCAAGACTTTAAAAGGCTTAGACCGAGACAAGACCGAGGCCGAGACAAGACCAAAACCTCTGAGAGTCGAGACCGAGACAAGACCGAGACTTTAAAAGGCCTAGACCGAGACAAGACCGAGGCCGAGACAAGACCAAAACCTCTGAGAGTTGAGACCGAGACAAGGCCGAGACTTTAAAAGGCCGAGGCCGAGACAAGACCAAGACCTCTGAGAGTCGAGACCGAGACAAGACCGAGACTTTAAAAGGCCGAGGCCGAGACAAGACCAAGACCTCTGAGAGTCGAGAAAGAGACAAGACCGAGATTTTAAAAGGCCAAGGCTGAGACAAGACCAAGACCACCGGCCAAATCGAGATCATATTTTAAAATTTTCAACATTTATTTTTTATTTTACAGTTATTTTGCCACATTTATATCAATGTTTTTAGAGCGCTGTCGCTCTAATGAAACTACTGCACGGTCACATCAGGTTTGTTAAGTTGCCGTGTATTGTTTTGGGTTTTTGTTTTTGTTTTTATCATGTTTTTATATATTTATGGAAGATTGTTGTGTGAGGCTTGACGGCGGAGAATTGTGCAGAATCTCAGGGAGCCTGTCAATGTTCCCACAGCTCTAAGTTTTTTTGTTTGTTTTTATTTTTCAAAATTAGGCCATATATTCCTACATTTCCTTTATCATCAGTTTGCGTCAGATTTTATCCCCATTTCTCTCAATTTGGTCGTCAATTACACCCAACTTATTATCCATACAAACATCTGATCAAATACCGCGGACCGGGAGGTTTTGCATGACTCTGAATCAGAGGTGGGACCAAGTCTTTGTTTTGCAAGTCTCAAGTCTTTAACCTCACGTCCAAGTCAAGTCCCAGGTCAAATACGGGCAGGTCCAAGTCGAGTCTCGAGTCACTGGCCCATAAGTCCAAGTCAAGTCCAAGTCGCCTGCTTTGAGCTTCAAGACATTTCAAGTCTTTAAACCAAAAAAGTACCAAATATAAATAGCTAGATTTGTGCAATTTATATGAATTTTAAGATAAATTGTACTTATAAAAAAATCATAGTATATTTATATGTGAATATTTATAGAGTTTATAAAAGTTGTATAAATTAATTTAGTAAATGTTTCCTTTTTAAACGTCTTGACAAGATCTTAGTGTGAATCATTATGATCAAGATAGAAAGAATTCAGATTTAAAGGTGCTTCTCGAGTCTTCTCAAGTCCCAAGTCGAGTCCCAAGTCTTCGTCCATTTTATCAAGTCAAGTCCTAAAAACAGACTCGAGTCCAAGTCACGACCTGCAAGTCCCCACCTTCGCTCTGAATCATCCCTTTAAATACAGTATAAAAATAAAAACGACTTGACTTAGTTTAATTTTGAGAAAAGTCTTAAGGAAATGAGGAGACCTAGGGCTGTGGGAACAAAGGGCTGACCCCGAATCTCAAAGCTAACGACGAGGAGGGTTTAAACAGGGCCTGGTAGAGATCCCTACATTACTCAAATATGCGTGAATGACATCTACAACCTCCTCGGGCAGGTTTTTCACGAGAGAACAACATTAAAACATGGCAGAAAGCTCCAAAAACTGCCGCTTTGTTTATCTCAGCTTGTGACATCAGTTGTAAAGTGGGCTATTAAACGCAGACAGCACAAAGGAGTCCCACTTTGATCCTAAGAGCTGCTCGTGTAATATATCTGTACTGGAGCTACGCAAACCTTTTTATTAGCTGAAAGAAAAAAAAAAAAAAAAAAAAAAGTGGTACAGTCTCTTTGACTGTTACCCAAGTCCAAATATGCAAAGCGAACTGTAAACAAAACTAGCCTTTCTCTTGACTTATTGTAAACGTTGGATTCCAGGCGTCGCAACCAGGACAGGAACAGGCCCACGTTTCCATAGCGACCGACTATGATGGTTATGAAACTGAAACAACATAATGAGTCAAACTTAGCGAGCCACGAGCTCACGGGGTAAAGCAATCAGAGCTAAGTTAATTATCACTGGATTGTGGAAGAACGGGTAAGTCTGGACCGAAACAAAACCAGGACGGAACCAGGACTAAATCACGACTGAACCAGGACTAGTGCTGTAGTGGGGATGTTTTAAGTGGGGGTACGAGATTCGTGACATCATGAATCCCGCTCAGGGCTAAACCAGGACTAAACCAGGTCTAAACCAGGTGTAAACCAGATCTAAACCAAGTCTAAACCAGGTCTAAACCAGGACTAAACCAGGTGTAAACCAGGTCTAAACCAGGTCTAAACCAGGACTAAACCAGGTCTAAACCAGGTCTAAACCAGTTCTAAACCAAGTCTAAACCAGGTCTAAAACAGGTCTAAACCAGGTGTAAAACAGGTCTAAACCAGGTGTAAACCAGGACTAAACCAGGTGTAAACCAGGTCTAAACCAGGTTAAAACCATGTCGAAACCAGGTCGAAACCACAACTAAACCAGGACTACACCAAGACTAAACCAGATCTAAATCAGGACTACACCAAGATTAAACCAGGCTTAAACCAGGACTAATCTTGGACTTGAGATGTCTTTTCTTGTGCGGTCACTTGATGGTCTACGCAGGCGCACACCTGTGGGTCCATCCTGACACTCACTCCTGCTTCAGTTCTGGTTTAGTCCTGGTTTAGACCTTGTTTAGTCCTGTTTTAGTCCTGGTTCAGTCCTGGTTTAGTCCTGGTTTAGTCCTGGGATCAGTCCCGTGTCTGTGATAAATCGGGGTCAGCCATTAGTCCAGGACTAAACCAGGAGTAAACCAGGACTAAAACAGGACTAAACCAGGATTAAACCAGTGTCATTAGCGAATTATAAATACATACACGCCGAAACCACAGAGCCGATTGCCAGGACTACATCAGGACTGGACCAGGTCTAAACCAGGACTAAACCCGGACTAAACCAGGACTAAACCCGGACTAAACCCGGACTAAACCAGGACTAAACCCGGACTAAACCCGGAAACCAGGAGAGCAGCCGCCGAGCTGATCACCTCTGCTGATGGTTTTATGTAATAGATACAGTAAAGTCTCAGCCTGGTCTTTCATCGTTCCTGGAAAAGACCGGGAAATGACACATGTTTCCAGGGCAACAAACATTCTGGAAATACAACGTCAAATATTTTTCTCCCGTTTGTCTGCCCGTGTGTAATCACTACCCGCCTGTAAAATTCAAAAACGTTAAAAACCCAGCAAATATTTTGTGGGAACCTGACCCGGTGCAGGACTTAATGTGGGTTGAGCAAAGGGAGGGCGAACTCAGAGCAGAAAACATGGAGCTTTTACCTTTTATTGTACTGTAAAAGTGTCATCTGTTCGTCTCTGTGGATTTTTATATTCAAAATAAAGCAGTAACACCTCCATGGAGACGTTCCACTGGAAAAGTTACATACTAGTTCACCTTTAATGCCCCATAGAAGTGTAAAACCCCACTTTAAGTTCAAGGTTTAGGGTCAGTTTTGATGTAGACAGTGTTGAGGAGTAACAGATTACATGTACCGGAGTTACGTAATCAGAGTACAAATTATGAGTAACTGTATTCAGTTACAGTTACTGTTTCAGTGAGTGGTAATTGGATTACAGTTACTTTGTTGAAATAAATGGATTACACGGAGGTATTTTCCTGTTTTCACATTTTGGGCCGAAATCCCTTTTTTTTTTCCCTCTCGGTAATTCCACTCATTGCCGGATGTTAAACCAGGTCTAAACCAGGACTAAACCAGGACTAAACCAGTTCTCAACCAGGTCTAAACCAGGACTAAACCAGTTCTCAACCAGGTCTAAACCAGGACTAAACCAGTTCTCAACCAGGTCTAAACCAGGACTAAACCAGGATTAAACCAGGAATAAACCAGGTCTAAACCAGGACTAAACCAGTTCTCAACTAGGTCTAAACCAGGACTAAACCAGGATTAAACCAGGAATAAACCAGGTCTAAGGCAGGACTAAAAACAGGTCTAAAACCAGGACTAAACCAGGACTAAACCAGGTCTAAAACAGGTCTAAAACAGGATTTAACAGGACTAAACCAGGACTAAACCAGGTCTAAACCAGGACTAAACCAGGACTAAACCAGGTCTAAAACAGGATTTAACAGGACTAAACCAGGACTAAACCAGGTCTAAACCAGGTCTAAAACAGGATTTAACAGGACTAAACCAGGACTAAACCAGGTCTAAACCAGGACTAAACCAGGACTAAAACCAGGTCTAAACCAGGTCTAAAACAGGATTTAACAGGACTAAACCAGGACTAAACCAGGACTAAACCAGGACTAAACCAGGACTAAACCAGGACTAAACCAGGTCTAAAACAGGATTTAAACAGGACTAGACCAGGACTAACCCAGGTCTAAACCAGGTCTAAAGCAGGATTTAAACAGGACTCGACCATGCTGCGCGGCCCATGTCTCCTCCTCTTTTATCAATAATATTTTCAATCCAGTTGAGTAAAGACTCGGCCTTTTCATTTTCTTTTACCAGACAAAACATCTTATGTTACGATATCTTAGTCTTTGCTTCTCTACAGCAAATCAAGTAATCCAAAGTATTCAGATTACTTTACTCACTTTAAGTAATTTAATGGATTACGTTACAAACTACATTTTTGGGGTATGTAATCTGTAATCTGTAGGGGAATACGTTTTAAAAGTCACCCTCCCAACACTGCAGGGAGAAATGAGAGTCTCAGTACTCACTTCCCCTCGGAGCCGTAGCTGTTCATGCTGTCTTCGATGGACTCGTGACTGGCCTGACGGATGGTGCGACTGGGCATCTCCACAGCCAGACCCGTCTCCGTGCTCCGCTGGATACTCTTCAGCCTGCGCCCCTCTGCATCTGCCAAAACAAAACAAAGATCTTACTCACATGCGGTTAAAACTGTGTAACTTTTCTGTTCGAAGGTCTGTCAAAAGCTTTTCTCCACCTTTCTATCCACTTTCCAACTTTCAACTCAACAATGCAGACATACATTCCCTTAAAAATAAGAAATAAGCAAAAAATAAGCATCTTAGTTATGTCTTCAGAAATAAAGTAAGTTCGAGCTCTCTGAATTCTGATCCGGGTCATTTTCAGACGCCACCCAGAAGGAAAAAGGTTAAATTCCTCAAGGAGCGTGCGGTCAAGGCTCTTCATCATTTGTTGGGCTTTGCAAATTACTCTTCTGTTGTAGTCCTGTCCTGCTGTAAGCCTATAATTTCACCTGCCACTTTCCCCAACCAAACCAGATGATTTCTACTGGACATAGAGAGGGCACTGGACAAACAGACAATACAAAATGCAAGAATAGATTCAGTAAAACTCTGATAAAAAAAAAAAAAAAAGGGGGGGGGGGTCATAAGAACATTGGTCATTAAAATAATAAATTTTCCTTAAAAAGAACATCTTCATGGAGACTAAACTAGACCAAGTTAGAAGTCATATCCATGTAGAGGTGACCTGCTCACAGTCAGAATGCCTGTTTTTCTAGGTATTTTTGAGCTATAAATCCACCTGTAAATTAATAAATGTAAGGTAGAGCTGTTTAATATTACACTGTGGAACAATCCAGGCAGAGCAATGACATCTAAATAGAAACAAGAATAGAAACTAGCCAGGCTGGTGCCACCTGGTGCCTCCGCTCAATTTCATTTCTCTCCAGCGACTAGGTCAGGAATCAGAAAACACTAGATCAGGGGTGCTCACACTTTTTCAGCATGCGAGCTACTTACAAAATGACCAAGTCAAAATGATCTACCTAATACAAAGCCAAGCAAACTGCACTGAAACACTCTGTGCCCCTTTTTTGGACCCTCACCCACAGTTTGAGAACCCCTTCTTTAAGAGAACTTCCTCTGGCACTTTACACAAAACTGTGAAAAAAGTGAAGGAAGATTTTTAAACCTGTTTTTTTTAAAGTTCCAAACTGGAGTTGCATTCTTTTCTGGTTTTGCAGTGATATTTACCAGCCTCTGCACGTTTACCAAACGATAACGCACATCGTGACAAACACAGATGCATTTGTGCACTTTTGTTAGGCAAACTTCAGCCAAATGTGGCAGTAGGTCTGTTCTGTAGATCCGCTCTATGCTGTAGACCTGCTATGTGCCAACACTGTAACACAAATTTAGACTCGTTTTTGCTTCACGTTTCGTCTTGCTCTTCTAATCAGCCGCACTGTGGGAGGGGCTTGTTTTCGCTGTACGCAGGAAGGAGCGAGAGCGTGAAAAGGCGAGGGGCGGCGTGCTGACGTGAGGCAGATGAACAGGTAGGATGTTTAGGAAGTTGAACCTGCCCTGTGATGAACGCTACGACACGAGGGCACACGCTGTCGCAGACGAGCCGTGCATAGGGAGCGTGTGTGTTTGTGATGTGCCGTAGAGTCTCCGCGGATTTCAAATGAGCGCACAGGCTGCACTGAGACGCCCCACACGCTCCTGCACCCGCTACAAGTTTATTGCCAACAGCAGCGGCCGTAATGAAATATGATCACACTTGTTGAGTGTCAGACCTTGAGTGAGAGACAAGACCGAGTCCAAACGCGAGTCCGAGACGAGACACAGCGATCTACCCACACGACCTTGGCAATCGACTGGTAGATCACGATCGACATATTGAGCATCCCTGCACTAGACGGTTTGCAGGAACCCGGGAAGTTGTAGACCACATACCTGCCAATCAGCAAAGAGCTGTGAAGCCATGACGTCAAACTTGTTGCGCCTCTCTGGGTCCCTTTTGTGGTACAGCACAACAGTAAACAAAGCGGTCAAGATGGATGTAGACCAGGGGTGGGCAAACTACGGCCCGGGGGCCGTATGCGGCCCTTTAAACCTTTCAATCCGGCCCGCCAAACTGGAATAAATTACAATAATAAACTTTGTTGATGTTTTATTTTTCCTGCATTTCCGATGTTTCCCAGTAGATGGCGCACTATATATACATTGAGTTGCGGCGTATTATGTTGGCCGCAAGGCTTTTTGGGAAAGTGTTCCTACAGGAGTTATTCAGACCATGAGTGAAATAGTGGTGTTCAAGATATAAGGCTTTTAATTTGGTGAAGTTTAAACATGAATAACTCATAGACTCTTGATGAGATTCTCAATGCAAACAAAATCACAGAGTCTGATTGACTGCACTTGCAGGTGTGTGAGGGCCTAACTGTGATGTGCGAGGTCAGCTCACTGTACACATAGATCTGTGGTGTGTAGAGGAACAGGTCTATACATTTATATGTGTTCTGTATCTTTCACTTCAAAATTGTAGTGCATTTCCTATGACCTACATAAATTATGAATGTAATGAAACTGAGCTCTTAACACGTCATGTCCTGCCTTCTGTCCGGCCCTTCAGTCTAATTTTAGGACCCTATGTGGCCCACGAGCCAAAAAGTTTGCCCACCCCTGATGTAGACGAAGACAGACATTCTGTGTTGGCAACGATTCCCGAGATCGAGGATTTAAAGCCGGAATAAAGAGAATGTTTGGAGAATTTTAACCAGGGAAAAGACGTTATTGCCCTTCTTCCTAAGGGATTTGGGGCATTACATACGTCACGACCAAACAGCAGCGATTGGTTAAATTAAAAAAGTACCCACATACTGTTGAGCAAACGAATCCTAACGCTGTGAGGTCAGACGGTTTCCATGAAGTGAAACCGGCTGATGAATCAGGCTAGCAGGTGATGGACCCCCAACCAAAAAGCTACGTAATGCAACTTTAAGAACTGTATTCACTCACACAAGATGTACATCAATCTGCAAATAACCCTTTCAAACTACTCAAGCCTGCCCTGCAGTTAGTGTAAACCCAGCGATAAAGGTGCACTGAGTAACTTTTTGGTTGGGGGTCCGTCACCTTCTTGTTTCTATGGAGATGTCATTGCTCTGCCTGCAATGTGCCACAGTATGACATTAAACACGTCTACTTTACATTTATTCAATTACAGGTGTTTTTATAGCTCAAAAATAGAGAAAAGGGTGTTGTTTGGTCTCCATGAGGACAGGAAGGTTCAATGCCAAACTGTGAAACATTCCAGACAAAGTAATATCATTTTCCACGGAGAAAAGCGTTTGATGGACCAGAAAAGTTACACAATGCACCTTTAAGCTACTTCTATAGGTATAACTGCAGATTGAATGAGGAAGCGGCTGCGAATTTGAGGTCCAAAAATCTCTCAATACTCAAATAATACTAGTATATATATAATTTTCTCTCTTTTTTTTTACTCCCGTCCATTAGAAGAAAACTCAGCGTGAATTAAGAAACATTATTTGAAATTATCTGCATTCAAACTTAGTAAAAAAAAAAGAAAAAGAAAAAAGGATCCACATTTGCAATTCAACAATTTCTTTTAATTATTCAGAGAAAATTATCGAGAAGCAACAGGCCTCTTCAAATCCTTCAAATTCCCCGTGCATCTTTTAATTCTCCGCTCTTCCCATGTTCATTCCCAAACCTAATACGTCCCCCATTATGTTCATATTATTCCACTGTATCCCTCAGTGATCCTTCTTTGCATAAGTCAATGAGTCTGTCCCCTGTTGACCTCGCTGCAGGAGAGGAGGAAGAGGAGACAAATGGCTCTCCAAACAAGGACAAAGCGCTAGATGATTCCTGCTTTAGTGGGACATAGATCGTAACGGGACGAGAAGCTAAATCAATGGGTGAGTTAGGTGCAGACGGGGTGCGGAGAGAGAGTTATAATGGGAAAGGGAGGATGGATAAAGGGGTATGTCCTTGTTTTGACGAAAGACAAGTTCACCTACGAAGGATTTTTACGCTTAGAATGATCCACAGTGTGACGTTAAACAGCTTTACCTTACATTTATTCAGTTACAGGTGATTTTATAGCTCAAAAATAGACGCATCAAGAATCTCGGACTTTCGGGTCATTGCGCAATCCATACTGGGAAGGATTTTGTGAAAAAGTGAGCATCAAACCTCCATGTTTGTTTTCCCAGTAAGACGTGTCTACTGACAAAGTCGATCTTTTCAAGTCTTTGGAACCATATCACTTTTGTTTCTGGTTCTGATATTGTCATATTTTAGTTTTGGGATTCAGGCATCATAATTGTGTGGTTGTTGGATGTCCTAACACTGGAAAATGGCTCGAGAAATTTGTTTGCAAACTCCATAAATGCATAAGAGAATCAGATGTGTGTGACTGCAAACCTCCGTTCAAACTGTTTTCCTTCCCAACGGAATTGAAAAATAGCGAAAGGCGAAGGGCAGGATTGATCTACGGGGAGGACCAAAAAGGAAACCTTTGACTGCCTAAATCATCCCGAGTTTGCAGCGAACATTTTTGTAAATTTCTCGAGCTGTTTTCCGGTGTTAGAACATCCCACTGGGAAACTGGTGGTTTGATGCTCACTTTTTCGGAAAATCCTTACCAGTATGGATTGCGCAATGACCGGAAGTCCGAGATTCTTGATGCGTCTATACCTAGAAAAACAGACAGACACACAGATCTGACCTGTAACTTGGCCTGGTGGTGATACCTGCTTTGGTATTTGACATAAACCCTTCCAGACATAAGGGCAATTTTACTACATTTGTCCTCGCCTAGATTTTTTTCTTAATTTTGCTATTAAAATTCCCAATTTTACCCCCTAATGAAGTGTTATACATATATTTTTTTTTCAGTACAACTTGTTATTTCACAATCTGCATACTGTAAATGTGTCATATGGCTGTAATAAAAGCTATAGGACCAGAAATACAAATCAAAAAATAAAATAATATTCACTTTCTTTCATACAAAACACACAGCAAACATGTATAAACAACTTTTTGGACATAAAAAATGCTTAATTTACGGTTTTAGATACAAAAGTGCAAAATATCAAGTGTGTAAGTAAA